TGTCTGGTGATGTTGCAGAATATACAGTATCCTTTAAATAGCTTTTTACCTCTCTGTGCTTCCTCTCCTTTCTTTTTTAAACACTTCACCCACTGAAAGTAGCTAGTGATGAGGTTTCTTCACTCAGTGAAGCATCCGCACTAAAGAGTGTTGTTGCTAACGTTTTAGCTATGATGCATTCACTGATCAGGAATAAATATGAGAAAGCTAAAAATTCCTCAGTTTCAAGCCAGCTAATCAGTGCATCTCTTTTATTAAACAGGTAAAAACTCACAAAAATGACTTTGGATTTTTTCTCAATCTCATTATTACAGTGAGAGAGCACAGTGGACAAAAACGTTTGAAGGAAAGGCTTTGGACACATCTTTGTTATTATCATTATTAATGTGTAATAAGGAAATGTGGCTTTCTGATGCTCTTCCTTATTAGAAATAACACTTTGGTGTCTAATCTGAGTACTCTCCCCAGGAAATCTGGAACATTATACACTGTCTTCTTTTAGATTCAACCCCTTTTAAATAAACACATTCAGATCTGGTCTTACTTAATCATTGGAACATTTAGTCAGAATTATAGTTTGAAAACAACAGGAGTGAAGAGTTTTTGTTGTATTAAAGTCACTTTTCAGGTGTTTCAAACAGGAAATGAAGGCAGGTCGTGAAGCACTGATGCAGGCATCAGATATTAATTCATTAAACTGATGATTGAAGCTGCATTAGGACCTGGTTGGCTGCTACACATCACTTTACAGAAATGCTGTGAAGTAACTTCAGTGATCTGCGCTCAGGAAGCCGGCCTGTGATTGGACACAAGCCGAACCAGAAGATGCACCCTGGCTTTGAACAAGATGTACTGTAGTTTTTTTTAGTCCCCCAGGCTCACTGCCGGCCAAGCAAACTGTTCAAGAACAAAGACAATATTTCCAGGTGCGACCTTGGCTTGTGTTCATTTCCAATTTTCAGGCGGTGCAACAGCCGGTGCATGCTGCAGAATGAAGCTCAACACAATCTGATACCAAGCTTGAAGTTAAGCACAAAAACTGAGGACAATTACATGCAGAGGACTAGTTAAGGTACCAAATGTTACAACCACCTCTTTACTCATGTTATTTGATCTTTTGGCAGCAGTAGCTCAGTCGATGCCCTCCTCCAGGAAGGTGTCACAGCTAAACACAGAGCCAGGCCAGGTGTAGTTCCTATGAAGAGAAAAACAGAGAGAACACAAGTAAACCTGCTTTGGTTCATTCTGTTTGACCGCAGCTTTCTGAAACATTTCAGTCAGGCTTGGTTCTGGATTTTGACTAGGCCATCCCATCACCTTGATTCCTTTCTATTTCAGTGATTCTGCTGTAGTTTTGCTGCTATGTTTGGGCTCATTGCCCTGTCAATGACCCAGTTTAGTCCAAGGTTCATCTCTCTGATAGATGGCTGGGTATACAGAGGAGTTCATGGTCTGCTCAATGACTAGAAGGTGCCCAGGTCCAGGTGCTAGTATGCTATACTTGGTTTTCCCAAAACATGGTTCAGTGCATTGGTGCTTATCAAGCAAAGATTTAAATTTTTTTTCTAGCTAAAACCCACGTTTGTGATTGTAAATTAAATCTGCAGTGACCTAAAACATCTCACAGTTTGTATTTGGAGACATCAGGCCACTGACTGTGTGTCTGATTCCCTATCAGCTGCTCTGGCATGTTGTTCCTTGTGCAGCAGAAGCTGTTAATTATAGCAGGCAGTTCACAGCTTCGCTAGCAATGCTTCGGCGCTCCACAACATACCAACTGTCAGCTTAATCACAGAGCAGTTCGACGACACCAGCCGCGCCGCGATGGCTCTGCCTCGCCTCGCCTCGTCCCACTCTCCTAAACATGACAAGACACTGCAGCCACGTGGGCTCAACCTGTTCGACTTGTGGTCTGAAGGGGAAACACAGCAAAGCCTAAAGTCAGTTATAATCAAACTGTTGGATATTACTGAACCTTAAAGGGGTATGTTTAATCCACTCTCATGCTCCTAATGCTGAAGATTTTAGAGAAAATTGAATTTGAAAGGTAAAATTTTACCTTGTTTGCTTGAATGTGATGTTTATTTTACCTTTTTATAAGTTTACAAAGGAAATTTTGGTTTAGGATTTAACCCAGTGTGAGTTTATAGTTAGAATGATATAGATTTAACAACCCTGTAAAAACTGTTTCAGGGGCAGTTATTATTAAAACTGATTTTCTGGCTGACATAAATCACAGCTTGAATCAACATGCAGATTCAGCATCCTGAATGGAACAATATGTATAAACTGCAGTAAGAAGTGAAGAAGCATCATATGGGTTCCAGCAGGGTGGATTACAAAAACAATGTGGCACCGACCACAAAAATCGCCACTGTGATGAACGTTCCTGTTTCCAGGCAGATTAAGAGAGAAAGGTTTCCAGGAAGATGAGAGAAAGAGAAATTGTTGGACAGTCAGAGGAGGAAAAGCTGGTAAGTTCAGACTGAGTGATTTCAGGCTTTTCTCTCAGTCTGAGCTGCAGGCAGACCTCTCTGTCTCAATGAAAACCTCTAACGGCTGTTACACCTTGACATCTGATCTCTCTGCAGAGGGATGCAAGATCAAGGTGGGTATCGGTTTTATTAGAAAAATAAAATGAACTATTTTAGTGACTTAACACGGTAGGGTTTTCTTTTTGATTTTCTTGTACACACGTTTGCATGCATGAATATGCAGATATGCACACATGTACATGTACGTGTGATTGAGTGGACAGAGTTCTCCTCAATTACCTCTACTTGTGAATTTCCAAAAGGCTGCCAACAGTTCCTAATCCTGTGTGATCCACAACAAACAGCTGTAAGACCCTAAAAGGATAAAAAAACAGGTGAACTTTTCTGTAAACCTTTCATCTCTCCTGGGATCTGCTAAAAATGTATTCCTTTAAAGCAAAGCAAAGCAAGGCAAGGCAAGGCAAGGCAAGGCAAGGCAAGGCAAGGCAAGGCAAGGCAAGGCAAGGCAAGGCAAGGCAAGGCAAGGCAAGGCAAGGCAAGGCAAGGCAAGCTTTTTTGTATAGCACTTTAAGCAACAAAACAGTTTAAAAGTACACTGCAGTGGCATGAGAAAGGAAAGTAAAACAAGCAGTTCTCTTCTGGCCCATTATGCATTTAGGTAATGGAGGAATATTGCTTTAAAACTTGGCCACCACTAGACCAAGACTGAGAGCCTTCATAGTGCTCTGTAACCTTCCCCCTAAATATTTTTAGGAGAGTCCAGCTCAGCCACAGTCAGTCAGGGAGGGGCCTTCTGCAGTGAACTGCTTCTCACTTCACACAGCCTTGCTCAGTTCCAAGGTGGAAATTTCCAGGTAACCATGGGAGCCTGAATAATATGATGTTCTTTAATATCTTCTTCCTCTGACTTTATGTTAAACACCTCACAGATATCTAACTTTAAGTGTTGTTCACTCAGTCACGGTGCCACACTGAAGAGTATTGCCATAACCTGTGGTTTATTTACTGATAAACAGAAAAAAATGTGAGTTATGAGCTTCCAGCTGGTCAATCAAGCTGAAATTGTTTGATTCTGGCCACTTGCTGGCGTCACGTTGCAACTGCATTTTTGATATAGCTTGTTGCAGTTGGACAATAGTTGCAATCCTTTTTTTTTCATTTGAATGTGTAATATGACAAACCTTTAGTTCAAACATTCTCTCAATAAAATATTGTTTTTTTTTGGTTTTTTTTGTCTATGATTGTGGTCATAGATGTCAAAGCATATCTAGGTGATCACATAGATATCTTTATTTGGAGATATTAGTAAGAGACAGAAAAAATTGAAAGAACAGAACAGGAAACATAAATTTCTCCTCCTGATTATAAGGATTAATCTGATGGAAGATGGAGATGGTCCGTAGACTGATGGAGATGCGCACCAACTCACCACCTGTTAAACAGCAGACAGAGCAGGTGTTTGAGCGTATTCATCCGTGAACAGCTGCTGTACAGTGCAGCATCAAGTGTTCCTCGTCTCCTGCAGCTGCCACTTGAGACGGAGATGTTGGTGAAGCTACAGAAGTGAGCTCAGAACACAGCCTGACCTCGTTCTGCAGCTTTTCACTCGCAATAATTCCTGTATGACTTGTAAACTGGTGCCGCTGTTCAGAGACGACGGCTTGGTGCTCCTGTGGGGTCTCACCCAGAGGAAGCAGACAAGCACACAGAGACGCTGAGCAGACTGGCCGGGTGAATTTCAGCGACTCATTAATGGTCCATTTCTGTCTGGAGTCACAGAAAATATGACATCCTGTCCTGGAGAGGCTCAAAAATAGCTGCTTATTAACTGACTTCTCTGACAAACACACTCCTTCACCTTCCACAAGAACACACACAGATTCATTTTTACTCCAACTGATCTATGTACATGGTACAGTTGCTATAAACACACAAGCCAATGGATTTATGCAGCACAGAAATGGGTAACTCAATATTTTAGGAATTTGTTGTCAGACTTTGTTACATTTTCTCATCAATGGACATTATTTAAATTTAACCTCAGAAGGGTTCCTGCATAAATAAGTGCAAATTCAACTTAATGGAAATGAGATTTTCTCACTCAATGAGCCAATCAACTGTTGCATTATTCGGTTTCATTTCAATTCAGTTTATTTATATTGAGCCAAATGGCAACAAAACCTATTCATATTCTGTCCAGTCATGTAGGCTGAATTGCATACAGTTCAGTCAGTCTTTTCTTCCATAGTGGGTCGTGGGGAAGCTGGTGCCTATCTCCAGCGGTCTATGGGCAGGTTCACCCTGGACAGGTCGCCAGTCCATCGCAGGGCAACACAGACACACACAGGACAAACAACCACACACACATTCATTCACACATAAGGGCAATTTAGAGACCAATTAACCTAACAGTCATGTTTTTGGACTGTGGGAGGAAGCTGGAGTACCCAGAGAGAACCCACATGTGCACAGGGAGAACATGCAAACTCCATGAAGAAAAAGCCCTGGCCGGGAGTCGAACCCAGAACCTTCTTGGCAACAGCAAGGACACCGTGCTACCAACTGTGCCACTGTGCAGCCCTACATATAGTTCAGTGCTATCCTAATTATAACACGAAACAATCTAAGTCAGCTAATCATATTTTATTAACCATATAAAGACGGCTAAGGAAGCCCAGGCGAGTGCGTTGAGTTGTTGCTTTTGTGGCAATCTCTCAGCCTGAGAAAGCACATGGTGTGAGTGGAAGTAGGAAGCAACATCATGGAGAACCAGAACCAGGCTCATTTTCCGTCATCTGCTGCAGCGGGCAAGAGGTTGAGAGGACAGAGCAGATAGCCAAAGACCACAGAAGCGCTGGGCTACAAATAGTTTCTAGGTTAAAGGAAAAACAGAGAGTATACAAAGTTATTGGCAGCAATGACTTGTATCTATGGCTCAGTCCAGAAGAGAGACAGAAGCCCTGGGCTGGAGATACTGGCTGTGGAAGGCAACAATATTTTACGATTGTTGTCGTATGGAGCAGCTTTCTTCTTTAAATATAAATGGAATTGTGCAGATGCTTTTCTGTGATTGGTGGGGCCAGAAGCCACATGGATGCGGATTGGTCACCTGATAGGAGATGACACATAAGATGATGCTGCTGCGCCAGTCTTCATTGATTGCACATTGCACCAGTAAGAGCAGAGTGTGAAGGTTCAATTAGCAGGGTAAGAGCACAGTTTTGCTCAAAATATTGAAATGCACACAACATTATGGGTGACATACCAGAGT